TTTTATCCAATAAGAAACGAGCCCCGTTGATTGATTCTGAGTTAGGGACGAAGAGTGTAAATTACTCAAGCAACCTATATCGAGGGTTAAAGACAGATAATTCTATTAATTTTCGTCCTTCCAAGGACTTTGGGGCAACAAAGCTTAGGGGGCACCAACGAGGCGCCTCATTCTATAACCGAGTGGCCATAAAATTAGTCCCCAATCTTTTTGTTTCCAAGGGCTTGTCTAAAAGTTTTTCATATTCTGTCCTAAAATCAGAAGACGTCTGGCAGCACTTTTTCAGACCAACACATTTTATTAAAAGGCATAAACTTTTTAGCTCAAAAAAGCTTATGTTTTTTTAATAAAATGTGTTAATCTGAAAAGGTGCTACCAGATGCCTGATTTTTGGCTACCGTAGACTAGCACAAACTCTTCCTCTAATGTCCTCTCCTAGACTCCCAGAATTGAAAGAGGCAATTACCCACTGCTCAAGGCAGAAATTCAAATTAAAACTTGAACAGAGCCTACCACCTTTCTAGAAACTTAGTTTCTTTGTTAAATAGCTCTCAGTGCTAGAAATGTTTATAACATTCAATCACAACCTGCTTTCCTGCAATTTGAATCCATTACTCTATGTCCTGAGTCTGGAACTAGAGAGAATGGGGCTTGATCTTTTCTGAGACATCCTGTCAGATATTGGAAATGTGCTGTTTTAGCCTCCTTCGGTGCTCAGTCCTCTTTCCTCAATACTGAACCTTCTCAGGTCCTTCAGTATCCCCTTGCAGGACTTTGTTTCCAATTCTCTCCTCCTCCTCCTCCCCCTTCTCTGAACCTCTTTGCCTGAATTCGTAAAAATGGATTCAGTATTTAAGGTGGGGTCTGATCAACACAGAGTAAAGATGAATGATTACTTCCTATGATTTGGAAATATACCTCTGATGCAGCCCATCATAAAATAGCTTGCCCATTTGCCCAGAAACTATGTGATAGGTGCAGGTGATAGCCAAACACAAAACAACTGCGTCACGGAAACACGCTCACACAGAACAGTTGGAAATCTGGCTCCTTGATTCTCCTCTGGCCAGATCATCCCTTTGGCCTCCTTGGAGCCTGCCCCAAACACTGGTTGGGCCACTTTTTCAACTGGTTCACTTTTTTTCCTTCCTATGTTAGGCCACTTTCTCTTTTTTCAGTATGAGACACCAATCCTTCCTGCTATTCAACTTGCTCCATTTGCTTCCCCCCTCTGTCAGGCCCCCAGTCCTCTCCGCCCCAGTCCTGATCTGGCCATTCCTTCTTCCCCCAATACCCTCTTGGCCTACAGTATTCCAAACCTTTCCACGCTCCTGCAAAGGAATGTAGAGATGACCTTGGGGAAGGAATGAATCAGCTGTTTAGAGAGGAAAAAGGACAACTCAGTCCTGGGAAAGTGGAAAGTATGAGAAAGAAACTCAACCTGTCCTTGGTTCTGCTTGGTATCAGATGAGTCAAGGAAAAACTCTGGCAGGCTTTCAAGAATACATACAGTGGGGCAAAAAAGTATTTAGTCAGCCACCAATTGTGCAAGTTCTCCCAC